GGGGACAACTAATCGCGGGAAATCTTTTTACTTTCGTTAACCTAAGCGCGCCGTCTTCTCACGATGAAAACTTAGGCGAGGGTCGAGATCGAATTCATCCAGAATCTAGACAGAAGGAAAAAAAAAGAGAATCCGGATCGAGGTGCAGCGATTGGAATTTCAATCAGAAACGTTGCTAGCCGGAGCACACAAAGTGCAGTCTCTCCCCGGCTGCAGTCTGTATAATCCAATAATCGTGACGGCATGAAAGTGCAACCACGCATTAAATTAGGATAATTAGCGGCATAATTAGTCACCCGTTTGAAAGTAGAATCACAAGTTATTATGCTAATGCGTGACGCTTCTCGTACACGTATACAGCGCGGGGGGGGGGGCTGTGTTGAGGAAAGAAAGAAAGAAAAAAAAGAATAAAGGAGAACGTTCAAATGTAGCGGTGCACGTACCGTTGTTGGAGAAGTAGTATCGGCCATGATTAATCAGCCCAGTGTTTCCTTCACGAATTCTCAGCTCGAATATAAACATACTGTTGCATTATTAATGAGGCGTCAATCAAGGCGAGACTTAACGTAGGAATATAATAATACAAACAAGGCTTGTGTAAACACCGGTACCGATTTTAAATTGCGCCATGTTTTCGTATCGCGCGTTCTGCCTCGTATCGAACGTTCGTTCGCTACTTAAACTCGTGTTGCCGATCTAATATTTACGCTATTTTACCTCTTCTTTTATCACAATACTCGTATTTCGTTAGCCAGAACCGTGCTTTCGATTCAGCCGATGGTTAACCCCTTAACGTGCACGCTCGAGTTAACTCGAGCGCGCTAAACTGGCCAAACTGTGCACACTCGAGATAATTCGAGCGGCGTTGTACTTTATGTTGCTATAATTTTCCACACTCGAATGCAATCGAGAATTGAAAATAACAATGTGAAAGCGAAAAAAAAGCAATCGTTTTATTGATATTTATCATTTACATGGGATTGTAAGCTATAACACTTACTTATTCAAGTATAAAATATATCCTTTTTCTACTTATCACTTACGACTTATCTCTTCCTTGTGAGCCGCTTTCCGACAGCGTATTCATATTCAGATCCTGATTCGCTCATTTTTCAATATATATTTTACTAAAATATAATGTAAAATAAATAATAATAACAATAATAATAATAATAGTAATATTCTGAAAATTGGAAATCATACCAATTGTATAAATATCCATTATTTTTGTATTTTTGTAATTTTCTTGCCAAAACAACGTTCTAAATTGTGTTTTTTTACATTTAAAAAAATTGATCTTTTTTGGCCGGCCTTTTTAAAAAAAACTGTGCATTAAGGGGTTAATCG